CTGGATAAGCTGCTTTTGTTTCCCCACTCATCTCATGACTGGGGAGAGGGAATGAGCTGCAGAATGATGACAGTTCCAATATTGACTTGGCTTTCTTGATCACTCCCCTTCCCCCTCAGTAAATCCGTGCTTGATGAGATGAGCTTCAGGAGCTATGGGTTTGCAACAGTATGAGCTGGGTAAATATTTCTGTACTTCTAGCTGATTTTAAGGTGATTGGTGTATGTTCCCCTCCTTTTTTTTGGCAAAGGTTGGCCCCATTAGACATACTGTTCTTCATTTCGTCTTATTCTCCCATCTGTTCTGTCTCTTTTCAGTAGAAACTGAGGAGATGTAGCTCCCACTCGGGCTGCGAGATAGCTCTGTCTCCTGTACATGAGGAAGAATCTCTGTGTGAAGTAGAGTGGTTCCCTGCTGCGTACACACATCAGATTGTACCATGAAGGCAGGCTGTGCTCTCTCAAACTCTGTAATAATGTCATATCCACTCTGTCAGCTCACACAGATGAGGAAATACCACTGCCTCCCTCAGTTATGTGATGTTGATTCCCAGGGCTAAGCTAGGAGACAAGGGAATTCAAAAAGCGTTTTCCTGGGCAACCAGGTTATCACAGCAGTAGTTAAGAAGAACAAATCTTTGTTTAAAATATTAAAACCATGATACTGCAAGTAAATAAAGAACAGTGCACGTAGATAAGGTATACAGAATTTATAGATGACAATTATACAAAAGCTGTGATTATCTAGATAGTAAAACCGTAAAGATAGGAAATGTTTATATAGAAAAACTCCAAACCTCACCTTGGAGCTCAGTGGCAGGTGGCCGTTTCATTAAGGAAGAAATCTTATTTACCAAGCTCCAGGACCTTGCTTCAGTATTATCACAGGTGTGGCTTGAGTGGAGGAGGCAGAGGACAAATAAGGCATGCAGTAAGAGAAATAGTATACATGCCCTGGATATATCCATGGGTATGGTAGTTTAGCCTCTGGTGCAAGAACAGCCATACTGTAGAAGATACCCTCAGTTGTAGCTCTCGATTTGTTCTCCCAAAGGAGAAATCTTCTAAATGCTTTTTTAGTTATTCATCCTTTTGGTTAACATTAATTGTTAATGGGCAAAATTTATTTAAAACCACATGCTTTAGGTGCCAATTAATTTTTTGCCATACGTTTATTTCACGTGGTAGGGAGTAATTCCTCTGAGAAATTTTGCTTTTGGCAGCTAGTGTAGCGGACAAAAAATTCTTAAATTTTGTGGTATTCTGATATTATTCCAGAAGGGTATTCATCCCTGCTTACTACAGAAGGGGAACAATATTACTGTATTTTACTATACTACATATTACTACCGGGAACCTGCTTGGCTGTTGTATGCATATAAGGTTCTGTTGGCATGTTAAATGGTTTGTCTGGAGATAAAACCATTGCACATTGCTGCATCTTAACAATTAGTTTGTGGATTATCCTGCTCTGTCTTCTAGGAAGAGTTAGAATGTCAACTCTAAATACATAGTGTCTCAAAACTACAATGAAACTACTTTTCTCCCAGTTTGTGTATGTGACACAGTCCTACATGACATCTTGGTTTCTAAACTGGAAGAATATGGGTTTGATCGATGGACCACTTGATGGATAAGGAATGGATGGATGGTCACACTCAAAGAGTTGTGATCAACGGCTCAGTGTCCCAAGTGGAGACCAGGGACAAGTGGTGTCCCACAAGGATCAGTACTGGGACCAGTGTTCCTTAATATTTTTCAGCAACATGGGCAGTGGGATAGAGTGCACCCTCAGCAAGTTAGCCGATGACATAAAACTCTGTGGAGCAGTTGACATGCTGGAGGGCATGTCAGTGAAGCCATCCAGAGGGACCTTGAGAGGTGGGCCCATGCCAGCCTCATGAAGTTCAACAAGGCCAAGTGTAAGGTCCTGCACTTGGGTCGAGGCAATCCCAAGAACAAATATAGGTTGGGCAGAGAACAGATTGGGAGCAGCCCTGAGGAGAAGGACTTTGGCGTGTCAGTTGATGAGAGGCTCAACATGAGCTGGCAGTGTGAACCTGGAGCCCAAAAAGCAAACCTTGTCCTGGGCTGCATCAAAAAGAGTGTGGCCAGTAGGTCAAGGGAGGTGATTCCCTCTATCTCCTCTGCTCTGGTGAGGCCCCACCTGGAATGCTGCATCGAGTTCTGAGCCTGCAGTACAAAAGGGACATAGATCTGCTGGAGCAGGTCCAGAGGAGGGCCATGAAGATGATTAGAGGGGTGGAGAAGCTCTGCAATGAGGACAGGCTGAGAGAGCTGGGGTTATTCAGCTTGGAGAAGAGAAAGCTCTGGGGTGACCTAATAGCAACCTTCCAGTACATGAAAGGGGCCTACAGAAAAGCTAGAGAAGGACTTTTTACAAGTGCTTGTAGTGATAGGACAAGAAACAATGGCCTGAAACTGCAAGAGGGTAGATTTAGAGTACATATAAGGAAAAAAATTTTCACTGTTGGAGTGGTGACGGTTGCCCAAGGAGGTTGTGGATGCCCCATCCCTGGGAGTGTTCCAGGCCAGGCTGGATGGGGCTTTGAGCAACCTGGTCTGTGGGAGGTGTCCCTGCTCACAGCAGGGGGCTGGAACTAGATGATCCTCAAGGTCCCTTCCAGCCTTAACCATTTTATGATTCTGTATTTCCACTACCCTTTTCCTTGTGTGAGTGTAACAGTGATCCAAACCAAACAGAAAGGGAGATATTTTAGTCACATATTTTCATTTTAGAAGTACTTGAATTCATTTGGCTCAATAGGCAAATGTCCTTTATTTATGTTGTGGTTTGCATTTATATAGCAATGCTATTTCCTCAGGCTGTTTTGTAAGGTCACAAATCTCCTTAGGATGCAAATCGTGCCTTATGAGACTGTGAAGTTCTGCAGCAGCTCAGACCTACTTTTTGAATCTAGTCCTCCTGAACACTGGTATTCTGATGGTCTTCAGGCATTACAGTACTCTGCATACCCTTGAATGATCTTCGATGATTTGATGAGTGGTTGGGTATTGCTATGCTATTGTGCTGATGTGTTTGTATATTTATATCCACTGTAGCTTTCATTTTTCTTGATTATTACAGAAGGAGGACCAGGAATAGAACCTTTATGTAGGAGTAGGAAATCACATTCAGAATCATCTAAGCAAAATTTTATAGAGATTTATATCATTTTTGTTGACTGAAATTTAAAAGAAAAGATATGCCTGTATCATGGGGAAGCTCACTTCAACATATCAAGTGCTGATATCAATTACGGTCAGAATACAACAGTAAGAATAGGTCTTATTGAAAAGTCTAATGAAAATCAGTATAGGAATTGCAGTCAGTAAATGTTGATGAATGTTTTTTTTTGCTAAATATTTTGTAGAGCATTAGGAGTTTTAAACAAAACTGTAGTGGCTTTCAAATATTAGGTTGGAGGATTTGGAGACCTGATAAAATGATAAGGTTGCAAGGGAGGTATGATTTACGTATAAAAGATTTAAAACACTTCCCATTGCCAATGTATTAATTCCAAAATAATAGATTCATGGTAGTGGGCACTAAGTGTGCTCTGGAGTCTTTAAATTTGCATGGAGACAAGCTAGACATATGCAACATATGTAGGTGTGTATAGTACAGATGAGAAAAGGCATTTTTGCATTTTTATGAAACTCAAAGATTGAGGAGATGAGAAGTCATTCAGGTCTGTGAAACTAGATTATCCTCTCACTGCAGCTAAGATTTTCAAGTGTGTTTGGTGACTACAGGTAAATCAGATTTAAGACACTCTAAAAAGTGTAATCTTCAAAGAGTTACAGTACAGCATTTCCTGAAAATAAGGCTGGTCTAGAGTGTTTGGAGTTTAGTAGCTAAGAACATCAACCATACCTCAAATTCTTGGTTTCTGTGTTCATGATTATTGTTTGCAGAATTATATTGAGAAATTGAGAAAATATGCCATTGAAATTGAAAATGCAACAGATAAAAATAATATATTGTGCTCTCAGGTATTTCTTTAAACTGGCAGACTTCAATGTGGGGAAGATGATCACATATTCCCTCTGTTTCCTTCCCCGAGTTTCAGTTTATTATGGGGTGTTCCTAAAAACTTTCTGGAGCTTATCTTGTTGTCAGCCTCTATCTACAAGGATCATCTCTTTCTGAGTAATAATTGAATGGCTTCAGTGCATTTGGATTCCAGTGATTGAAATAATGTTCACCCTTAAACTCCCAGACTCCTGTCTGAAACACTGTATTCTCTAGCCCTGCTTGTTCTGTCAATCTGGATGTTTTTTATCTTGTATATTTATTCAGGCCTTCAATTTAGTCTCTGTCTGTGTCTTCACCACCTGAAATCTTTTTTTCAGTCTTCTGTGAGGAACATAGAACCTTAAACTGAGCTCCATACCACTTCACTGTCTCCCAGAAATAATCCCCAGATTCATCTCTTACCATCTACTTACCATTTTTGTTTCATTCATTTCTTTGTCAGGTTTAGGTAGTGAGCTTTCTGGAGAAAGTACTTGGAATCACCTTAATCTTTATGAAATGATTTACAAGACTGTGAGGTCCCATAAAACTTTGTAGTTAAAAACGTGGTGGAAGGTTACAGTCTTTGCAGAATTTTTCAGGGAAGGAGCACTTAAAGCCAGGAATATTCTTTCAAGATGAATTTTTGTGACTATCATTTTGGCATTATATTTAGAGAAGACAGAGGAGATTATAAGAAAAATAAGGCATTGAGAATATGAAATCCTTAGTACAGTGGAGATTGGTTTAAGTCACTGGAATGATGATAATTAATAACACTTAACTATCAGTTCTCTGCTTTTTTCTGTAGAGCAGAGTTTCTGAAGTGACAAGCTATAATGTAATAAATTGGAATATACACATGTTTGCTCATATGTTTGTACAAAAGCATACTTATTTTTCAGTCTTCTGTTTATAGGTGCTGTAAAAGTTCTAAAAATATATCTATATTTCTCTTTCAGCCATTAATGAATTTCCTGAAGATTTATTTACAAATAAAGAACGGCAGCAAGGAGGAATTCTGCTTCATATCATTGCTGTAAGTTTTCCTCTGCTGTGCTATGTATTTTTGTTTTCCTTTTATTTGTCTTGTGAGATATATATGAATCTGTTTATAATACTTTGACTTCAGTGTTTCTAATATGTCTATGTGGCTACAAATGCTCAAAAGGTAATATCTCAGGGACACAATTTAGCTCTGGAATTGGTGGCGTTAGTTAACCTAACCTAACATCAGTTTGGGTCAATGATCTTTAGGGTCTTTTCCAGGCTACATGATTCTATGAGTTTGTGAATCTGCAGTGCCTACACATTTATCCTTTTCAAGATAAAATCCTGTCCTGGATCACAGCCTTGTATTTGCTAGTATTTAATCTTGTATCAACACGGTTTGGGATTCCTTTGTTGATGTCATCAAGCATGATGTGTAAGATTCTTGCTTTTCTTTCCTCTTGTGCATCTATGCAAAAGATACAATAGTAATTAAAAAGGAAATAACCCTGAAGAAATACAGAAAATGTCCTGTAGAGTTTTATATTTTATTATAGAGAAACAAAACAAGTAAGGCCTGCAGGCTCAAATTTTCCGTTCTCAGCTCAGGGTAAGTAAAGTAAAAAGAGATGTTCTTGCTGGACACCAGCAGGATTACGCCCACTGCATGAGCAACATAACGTGGTGGGAGAGCGACATGTATGCAGGGAACTAGGATCATTCTGAAGGGGTTTGGTGCAGTGAGCTGCGGTCTGGGTCCACTTACTTCCAGGTGTGATTGTTTCTTTAGCATTGTTAATCAACATGGATCTACTTTGTATTTAATCACTTGGTCCGATAATAAATTGAAAATATAGATATTGACTATGTAACTTGTAAGCCTTACTTTCCTTTTTTAAGAAATCTGCTCTGGCACCCTATTCTGTCAAACTGTGGTACCTTTCATATTCTAAAAATCGGGCAAACATTTGTATTATAAACTTAATCTTACATTCAAGAATCTGTTTTAATGCCATAAATTGATCAGCAGAGGGATTTTTATTTGGAATGGAATAAAAAAAATGAAGCTATACATTTCTACTAGTCAAATAAAGCATTGCCTTCTTTCCTCTTTTCATGTGCAGGAAAAATCTGAAGTATTTAATGAATTTATTTTCTTTACAGGCTCTTTATATGTTCTATGCTTTGGCTATAGTATGTGATGACTTCTTTGTTCCATCCTTAGAGAAAATTTGTGAGGTATGGTAAATAACTGTATTCCTCTTTCAAAAATTTGTTTAGAGAATATTATTGAATAAAACATTTATGCCATTGTTTTCTGGAGTTCATTCCTGTCGACTTCCTGGCCTTGGTCAAATCTTCCTGGAGAAGGAAGGATGGATATCACATATGGATGAGTTGGTTTATTATTGTACTCCTAGTTTTAAAAGTCACTTGTGAAAAGTAGTCATAAATAGACAAATTAATGTGTGGCTATAAAAATTTTATTGCGCATCTACTGCTGTATCAGCAAGGAGAAAGCACACATATGTGGTCGTAGCATAAAGTGGATAAAAGGGAGAATGCATGAGAAAGGTGTGTACCTTGGTTTGGTGTGGAATATTTTATATGGAAGACAAATAGTAAATAAATGTAATCCCTTTCCATAGTTGTTGAGAAGACTGCAAAATTACGTATATGATTCTAGTTATGTATGTTGATCAGGACCCGGTGGGATTTATACTTGGCATTTAAATGTGTTAGATGAGGCCTTGGTGAACTACTATAAGATGAATACAAAATAGAAAACCAGATTTTAGTTCCTTTTTGAGGGCAAAATTAAAATCTCATCTTCTTTACTTTTTAACAAAAAAGCATGTGATTATTTTCTGAAACTCTCCTGTAGCTAGTTAAAAAGTCTATTTTCTTACGGACATATGTACTAAATTCAGTGTTACTCAGAGATATGTACTTACACTTACCAGTAGAAGAACAAATAGGAAAATAAGGGAGGCAGCCAGTAAGAGTAAAATAGTCAGTAGGGATCTTTTCGTTCCCTTTTCAGATGTTCTGTCTTCAGCTTGCACCTTAGACACCATATTTAAGTTGTACCAATTGGGTTTTACCAATTACGTTGTCACCGATCCGTCATAAAAACTTTGCCTTTTGTCTCATGTTCCAACGAACGTGAAAACAGCTAAGGATAATTTAGGTAGCACACTTAACATTTGAGGTCCTGCAACGGTGTGACTGGTAATAGATCAAGTGGTGCAGTAAGGGCTTGTGTTTATGTTTTGCCAGGTTCTGTAGGATGTCATTTTTATCAGCTCAAACTCTTGCATAGTGCCTGAAAAATACAGGATTTCTGTACTGGTCCTTTTGTCACTAATCACTTCCCTATCCTTTGAAGAAAAATAAAATACTAAAGATTAGTCTAAAGACTCTCAAAAAAGAAGCAGCTCCTCCATAAAACTTTCTTTATAGTTCAAGAGAAAGATCTTCAGACAATAGTAAATTGATCCACCCTACTTGTGGAGCTACACGTTTCTGCTGGGCTGAGAACTCTTATCTATATCCTATTAGAGCTTAAGAGACACTGTTGTAAAAATAGATCTGTCTGTAGATCTGTCTAATTGGACTAATTTTATCTGTGTCAGCGGACTCACTTTTGATTAACACAGTTAAGTGTTAATTGAAGCCACAATCAGGCCAGCTGTTTGTAAGATTTATTCACAGATATTATTCACAGATATTATTCACAGATATTTATTCACAGATATTATATATTTTCTCTTAAGGATTTTTATTTTCAAATTTTAGAAGCCCCAAGAATTGCCCTTAATTTTTGAATGATTGTGTTTGGAATTCCAAAAGTAAATTAGCGAAAACAATTTGAGACCTTTACAATTTTTATGAATTTGCAGAGATGCTTTTCTCTAATCAGCTACACGCAAGCCACAATTGGCTATTCAGTTACATGCAAGTAGGTGATTTTATCTGATGCTTCACTGAATTAAGGTATAAATATTTTACTTACCAGAAGTGTATTTGCCTTCTTAAAAAGCAGTGTCTTAGTCTTGTATCATAATGACTGTTACTCCTTTAATGGCACTGTGGCCCAAAAGTCAAGAGTGTCTATCTTTGCAACTGTAGAACTGTGCAATGTGTACACAGCAGCAGTGCTGAAATTACCAACGCTTTTCTTCCAGAAATTACATTTGAGTGAAGATGTTGCTGGAGCCACATTCATGGCAGCAGGGAGCTCCACTCCAGAACTGTTTGCATCTGTAATAGGTATGGAGCCCACACACTAGCTTTTATGAGATCTTCTCTTTAAAGAATTAGCAGCAGATCATGCAGAGGTATCCAGAAGTGCTACTATTCTTCTGTCAATTTATAAAAAGCAGTTGTAGCAATCAGTGACTCTGTGGTTCCTGGTATAATTAACTACTAAAAATATCTCGTGAAACTGTGCATCTCCTCTCAACACACAGAGAGGAGTGGCTGATTCTGAACATAGGAAGTAAAAGAAGAGATTTATTGCAGTCCCCTGGGAGACAATTCGAGATATTTGATGCCTCTTTGGCTTCTTTCTTCACAAATAGAGGGAATTAATTTTAGCAAGGATGTAGGAGAACAGGGAACCATGGGAAAACAATAAATTTAGACAAGTCAGATCTATTAAAGAACATGGTGTACATTACTTAGGGAATTACATGGAAGAATTTCTGAAATGTAAAATATTATCAGTGCAGAAAGGAGGTCTAAACAGCCTTTCTTCCCTGATTTCTTACACCTGGGGATCAAGAGCCCTTGTGCATTATGGAAGATGTCCTCAGAGGTCTGCCAGCGCTGTTCTGCTCCTTTGTCCTGAGGGCAATTTCCCAGGGAATCCTGTTGATTAACATCTTAACAACTGGAAGTCTGCTTTCCTAAAATTCAGGCTCCTGACTTTACTCCATATCCCTCAGGACTGTGAACTCCATCAGTGCCTGATCACTGCAGCCTAAGTTGCCTCAAGTCTTGACGTCACCAGTTAGCTCACTTCCGTTGGTGACCAAGAGGTCCAATATCACATCTCCTCTGGCAAGACTGTTACCTGTCTTAAGAAGCTGTTGTCGATGCATTCCAGGAGTCTCCTGGATTGCCTACAGACACTGTGCTACTTTTCCAGTAGTTGTTGGGGTAGCTGGAAGTCCCTCCGCAGGAAGAGAGTCTGCAAGCATGATGCCTTCTGTAGCTGGAGCAAAAAGGCTTTGTCAGTAGGCTCCCCTTGATTGGGCAGCCTGTAGTTAAACACTGACCACGAAGTTAACCTTCATTGCCTCAGTCTCTAATTCTTACCCATAAGCTTTCAACCTGTTCATGGGTATTCTTCAGAGAAAAGCTTTTCACAGTCTATCCATTTCTTGATTTAGAGGGCAACCCTTCTACCCCTCTTTCCGTGCCTGTTCCTTTTGGAACAGCCTGTAGCCTTTGATAGCCACGCTCCAGTCATGGGATTTGTCCAGCTGAGTTTTGATGATGGCAACTAGGTTTTCACTTTCTAGCAACATGATGGCTTAAATTTGATAAATCTATCTTTAGTAAAGCCTTAGTAGGCTTTCTGCTACTATCCTAACAAACGTTTTTACAAACTTTAGGAAAATATAGTCTAAGGGAATGTTCTGTAACCTCACGTCCAACTTACAAAAAGCAGCAAGTGTAAGCCTTGAAGGCTCCCTTTAGCAAAACATGCATGATTTCTCACCTGGGAGAAAGGTTTCTCTGCTTTATTAATGTTTGAAATAAATTCCATACTCCTGGTATGACCAGAGATGTTTTCTACTCATTTGAATAGATTACTGTACCACTAAGAACCAAGCTGTGGAATACGAGACTTACTGTTGAACTAACTAGCTAAGAAATCATTTACTTTTAATAAAAATATATATATGTAGACAAGTTAAGCCAAAATGGAGAGTTGCTAGCTAGACTAAAAGCACAAAATAGTCCACTGAGAAGTGAGCATTTATGATGAAACATATTTTGGTTTAACTTCAAGCAATCTCTTCTTCTCAGATAGTATATATTTTAAATAATTGCCCGTGACCTGAAATGAAATCACAGAAGTAATAATGCATTTTCTTCTCCCTCTGCAGGTGTATTTATCACCCATGGAGATGTAGGAGTAGGGACCATTGTTGGTTC